TACACTGTTAATTTTTTGGATTTTGTTCAACAAATAACCGGATCTTATTTGAAGTATGTTTTTGTGCAATATAAACTGTAGACTTCTTCTTTAGGGCAAAGCGTGAAAATCCGTAAAATTATTAATTACTTCCGTTTTATGTCTGATGATGGATGAATTTTATCTGTATTTTTAATTCTATAATTATACTAAAAAATAGAATGTATGAAGGCAGACTTATATGCAGAATGGAAGAGACGAGTGTATTTTGGTTGTTTCACAACATCAAATATCCTTACTTGTGAATGGCATTCTTCTCTATACATTCTATCCAGTCGTTTACACTTATTGTTGTTCTCAAAAATAGCGGTTGTAATGCAAAATTTATATATAAGAGTAGAATTTGAGCACTGTGGACGAGTGTAGTCCCATACTAGATAAGTTTTTGTGATACTACGACACGCACAGTGATACAGAATTAATAACTGGATGATGTTTCAAGAATAATTTATTCTTTATAATCATATCAATGTATTCATACAACTTTGTAACTTGCTTTTTGCAGGTTTTTGAATTCCTCTTGTTTTTTTTAATGTAATTTCTCATATGAACAGGAAAAAGGTTGAGTAATTTCCTTTGGGTTAATTTAGTGTTGACTCAATGAACAATGATTCGGCAACTAACCTTTCTTCATCAAGATATATTACTTTTTAATGCTTTTACTCTATCCCACCCTATGTTATGATTACATACAAGATTGACTAGCTGGGGTAATCATTCTAGATCTAGATAAATTCCTACGTTCTGATAGCCCAACTGATGCCGATCTACTAGTCTGACCTATGTAACTGACCTCACAGTCATTGCATAGAATTTGACAAATTATATTATTTTGCGTAATTGGGTCTGTTGAATTCTTAAGCCAACAAACTCTATGTATGAGTGATTTGGTTAGTATAAATACAACTCTAATTCCAACTTATATTGTTTGAACAAAGCGAGAATGAACATGGACACCAGGTAATTAGACGTCTATGTTTTGTTTCTGTTGCTTATTATGTTATATTATAGTTATTCCCTTGGGTTCCGAGAGGAACATATGGCTTCAAAACCACATCTCCACTTTGTTCTATTTTCTGCCGTCCCCTCCAGCTGATTGCTCATAATCTCTCATCTCCTCCTCACACGATCTCTCCCATGTCACACTCGGACCACAGCCCAACTCGTCGCTTCCCATTCGGATTACACTCCAGCGATGGCCTGGCAAGCGATGTCATTCGACGGTCTCCTTAACGTATGCCCAATCCATCTCCATTTTCTTCTACATTTTTCTTGTACGATAGGTCTTTCGTTAGTTTGTTCCCATAATTTCTTGTTACTAATTCTTCCTCACCGGCTATTTAATCTTCAATATGGAGTCATCAAAGGCGGCATCTGTTGATAAAAGTTTGTAACTTGTTGGAAATCCTTTTCATCACAATCTTTTTTTGAGTACAAATCACTGAGCTGAAGTCATTATTAATTTTCCAACTTACTAGGTTGATTGTAACACAATAATTTTACTTTTGCTCTTTTCTTTCCCATCTTCTCCTCTCAAACTTTCCTGCTTATCATGCATACATGTCTATTTAACTACTTTTTATTTACATCCCTTGTTTCACTACAATGCTCTTTGAGTTGAAATAATTTTTGAAGTATGTTATATATTCACATTTGTATTAACTTACGTCTTTTTTCTAAAGGTTGTTAGCAGGTGAAGAAAAGCAGTGAAATAAAAAACAGTAAGCTCGTTTTATCCTGCAAATATGTTCGTTCTCGGTTTGTTCAAACTAATCAAAGGAAGTGAGTGTACGAAATTACTATATTAATGTCGTTATTTGAAGTTTTTACAGCTAACATTCGTGACTTTGATAAATTCACTCATTGAGAGATTAATAATGAAATAACCAAAGTGCGACATGAAACAGGTGGAGGCATATATTGGGAAAGGAGATAATATCACTAATAATAAGTCCGGATAGTATAAATGCGAAATTCGAAAGTATTGAGAGAATTTTTGAATGAAGGGTATAAATTATGACGAATATAATAATAATTGTAATAATAAGCAAAGAAAGAAAAAAACCAAGAGGGTTAGGGGGAAGAAGCACTGTTGGTGAGAAGAAGAATCATTAATCCAAGTTTGGCCACGGCAGGGACAGAGTCTGGACGTGTTTCTTTGGATACAAAGTTCCGGTTAGTCGATCTTATTACAACAGCTTCAGCTATGTGTTTTAATTTATTTGTGGCAGCTGGAATTCTTCAGCGTCACAGAGGAGAATGAATGTTTTGTATAGCATCTTTGTAAACTATATTTTGGTTAATATTCGACTTTCACCGTGAAATATTTGGGATGTATAAATTCCTTCCATCAATTATATATGCTTACCTAGAAAGTTACAAATTTCCGTCAGTAAGATTTAAATAAGACACAGAAGCGAACAGTACTGTTTTCCGTCAGATCTTGCTTAAGATTTACTCTAATACTCTTATGAAATTTAAGCAGTGACGGTGATTTGTAGGTCAGTAATAAGTGTTAGATATTGTAAGTTATAGAGGTGATAACGAGTCTAATATAGTGCGTCGGTGGAACAGCGTTCATGGTACGGGGTTCGATCCCCTGCCGACGCACACCTGATATCAATGGTCGACATGCAAAATTTGGGCTACCGATATCACATGCTGAAAATCCCATACTTGTACCAAAAATACGGTGTGGAATCAAGCAAAAATAAAAAAAATAAAAATAAATAATGATAATATTGATGGTAACAAAAGTACAAGTAGCTGAAACAAGTGACGATAAGAACAATGAAGTTAGCTTTATAATATAGGCGTTTCAAGAATTAAATTAGGTCAAGGTGTTACAAAAATTAGAAGTTACGAGATACTTAAGATGAAGCCAATAGAGAATCAAAGTTTAAGTAAATATAATAAATATTCAAAGGGGCTGAAGAATGAGAACATATGAGAAGACTTTAAGAGGGATTTATTTGTTAAATTTACCTCTTTTGAGTACAGAAACTGGACTTATCCTCCCGAATTTCCTTATCCTTGGCTACACCATTACTTAGCATACTTTAAAGAGTAAGTGTATTATCACTAATTGTAAAGGAACATTTTTATATTCCCTCGATTAAACTGGTTGTGTGAAAAAGGATACATTGAGCAGATGGCAAATAATAATGTCATTCGTAAAACTTAGTCAGGAAGCTTGATTTAAACGGAAACTTAGGTGTAGTGACGTTCGTTTTTGGAGTGATGTTTCACAGTGAAAAAACACAACAGGAGCCGCTGATGGTTTTGATGAACATACAAAGTATTTTTAAGTAATTATTAAGAGGAGGAATGATTAAATCATGTGTATACCACAAATGTGTCTTTAGGTGACATAAAGGGAAAATAAGTGCAACATAGAGGCTTTCAGAATATCTGAAATCTTAATCAACGATATTGATCTTGATCAATTAATGACTGACTAGCTATATCTATAGTTCTTAAATCATCAGCTTCTTCTAGGTTAGTGTTAGTATTTGAACAGTGCAAATAACAGGGGACATAACTCGACTCCCCTCAGTTTCACTGTTGAATCGCCTAGTAACTAACTGTATTATAAGTTTCTGATGCGCAGAAAGTCTAGTGCTCCTTTCGATAAGCAGTAGAAGGTAACAGACAAAACAGTGATGTTGTTAGCCTGAAATTAAAGCTTGGGTGTTTTCTTGATATTGTGAACCATTATTTCGTTAGCTGCTAGAGTAAAAGGAATCAAGTGTTTCTCAAGTTATGGGCTTAAGACATGTACAGGAATTCAACAATACCATTTATCTTTAGTTCTTACAACTGTTTAAAACTACACTTTTACTAGCGAATTACATGTTGGTGTACTTTAAAGTAGATAGGCGGTATGTTTATTAAATTAAAAATAATATGTGCAACCCTACACATAAAACTGTTAAGGTTTAATCAGTTTGTTTCAGGTAAGACGACGGATTGATATCAGTTAGAGAACTATTTAAAACCAGCACTGCAGTACTGCACAGCTGTCTCATCAGCCTACTTTGTGAATCATCGGAAGTACGCACTCACTGCCTGGGTTCAAACCCAAGAACTTACGGTTACGAGTCAAGCTCATCGACCATTCAGCCACTGGATCCCCATTCAACAGCCAGTTCATGAATTCTTAATTCTACCAGGACGGAGTTTCGTGGAGTTCTGGTGAGAAGTCGTCACCAGTGAGGTCCATCAAGTCGGGAGTGAGGATGGAGTTCCCACCGATGACATGGGTTGGTGCCAGTCGGACTAAAATCACGAATTGGTAGGAGTTAGAATTCATGGACTGGCTATTGAATCGGATCCCAGTGGCCGAATGGTCAATGAGCTTTCCTTGTAACCGGAGGGCCCTGGTTTCGAACCCAGATGGGTGGTGCGTACTGCCAATGAATCCCAAAGTAGGATAAAAGCAGCTGTTCAGTACTCCCTGTTTTTCAATGGTTTCCTAACTGATATCAATCCATCGTCTAACCTGAAACAAATACACTCCCTACCAACTAATTCTTGAACAGTATAATTAATTATCTTTTTGAAGCGCCATTTTGTCTTAAAATGGTTACCAGCCTGTTCTGCTTCTATCTCCATGGCTTTTTACAAAGTGAAACTGTCCTGACTATTGTTCTAGTGAAACAATTTGAAAGGTAGTATTTTTTAAGTCTCAATCAATAACAGTATAACATCTGTTTTTTCCTTACTGTTTTACCTTTATTTTACTGTTCATTGTGTGTGTAGGATTATATTTATTTCAAATTGTTAACAAATATGTATCTGAATAAAGACTGGAATCATTTTGTGACATCATTTATCCTAGTTTTACGCAATACTGTGTCAGTATATTCTCCTGTAATTTTTACATATAACATGGTTGTACTATGGTAACGAACAATGTATCATTGTAACAAATATATAAATGTCTGACTTAAAAAACCTACCGTCCTTTGGCAGACAAATTTTTAACTTCCTGTATTGAAATCCGAAGAGAAACATCTCTGTGTTGTTCATTTTCCAATTCTGGTTTATCGTGTCTTCTCAATCTACAAAAGAGACAACACAGATCGACGATATAAGTACTGCTTACACTCAGTAATGATAAAATAGGCTAATATTCACTAATGAAAACTGAATTTATTGTTTACTTATATAACTTTTTTTGAAAATAAATTTTCTTAAACATATAGCTAATAGGCATTTGTAGGAACTACACAACAATAGGTTAACATTTCAGTATAATCTGCAGTTAGAACATTAAACTCATCAGCTTTACGTTGCATAAATTGCAACTTACACTCTCTTTTAAGTGTGAGAAGTTTTTAAACCAATAGTTCAGCTTTCTGCTACGAAGCTTCTGAGAAGCCAACTGAGTATTTGAATATTGTTAGGAGTAATAGTAATATTATTTCCAAGAGTTGATTTGTAAGGATTAGATTTAGTTTTTGACCACGGATTGATATCAGTTAGAGAACTATTGAAAACCAGCACTGCAGTACTGCACAGCTGTCCCGTCAGCCTAGTTCGAGTATCATCAGCAGTACGAACCCAATACAGTGGGGTTCGAACCCAAGACCTTCCACTTACAAGGAAAGCTCACCTACCATTCAGTCACTGGGACCCGATTCAGTGGCCAGTCCATGAATTCTAACTCCTACCAATTCGTGATTTTAGTGCGACTGGCACCAACCAATGTCATCGGTGTGAAATCCATCCTTACTCCCGACTTCATGGACCTCAGTGGTCATGACTTCTCACTATAAGTCCAGGAAACTCCGTCCTGGTAGAATTTAGAATTCATGGACTGGCCATCGAGTGGGGATCCAGTGGCTGAATGGTCGATGAGCTTGACTCGTAACCGGGAGGTCTTAGGTTTGAACCCAGTCAGTGAGTGCGTACTTCCGATGATTCACAAAGTAGGCTGATGAAACAGCTGTGCAGCACTCCAGTGCTGGTTTTCAATAGTTCTCTAACTGATATCAATCCGGGGTCAAACTTGAAAAAATAGTAATAATATTTTGAAGCAGTTTATTTCTTTTGTGAAAGGCAACAAAACAATAATGTGTAGCTTATCCGGGCAGTGTAAGCTTTTTGCCTAAAACATTTCGACCAGTTTGATTAAATGGAATCATTTTATTCTATTATTGTGATCCATGATACTTGTAAAACGATCATAAGGAAACTAGGAAATCATATCACCTCGCAATATTTTTTTCCATAATGCTTTACTTAGATTTGGCAAAAGCACTAACTTACTTGTCATAGGAATTTATGTGAAGAATAATAAGGCATTAAGGAGTGAGAGAATAGACATAGGTCAAGTTGAGAGAATTTATTGAAGGTTAAAATAACAACGGAGATCAATAAACCAGAGAATGGAGATAATAGTACATTTATCCTGTTATCAAAACAAAATTTACCAAAAAAGGTTTAGTGTGATGACAAATTTTTCTGAACACATGAAGGCCGTTTAGACTTTTCCCGGTATCTCATGTTAGAGTGTTCAAACCTAGAACCTTTCAATTCAAAGTTGGATTTGTAGGCCAGTAACTTCGGTTGACAGTAGTCAAACTATCCAAGAAAGTGTCAGAATTACGAAAGTATCGGTTAAAAGAATTTGGTATTATTTTTTAAAACATTCTGGTATGTATGATAATGAAGCTGAATTTGAAGCGGTTCATTCATTGTGAAATAGAATGACTGGAGAATGATTCAACATGTTAGTGGGATTCCAGTAAATTGTTTCAATTTTATGAAAGCTAAATTCATTCGAATTAAATAGTAAAACCGTAAAAAAAAATAAAAGTTACATTTAGGCATAAAAATAGAAACTTTCTTATATAGTGGGAGTAAAAACGATCTTGTTTTAGTTTATGGGCTTTTCCTTTCATGTAGGCTTTTAAAAAAAAACATATTAACAGCTACCGCCTGTTGAATTTGTTCATTAGATTGTAATTAAACTGTTAAACCTGATGTACTTTGTTCGCAACCTACGCTTTTTCTCCTGTTGTGTGCATGTTCTTTATGCTCAAGTTGTTACTGTTATTACTGAATATCAGTTGATTAGTTTTGTTAAGCTAAAACAGTAGACGTTTTCATGTTGCCCTAGCACTATTATATATATATATATATATATATATAAATTGGTCTTTCCGTGAAGAGTAACATTGAATATTTTGGCCTAATTTTGAAAACTGCAGTCATTATTCCTCAAAAAGTCTCACCACGTCGTAAAGACACTTGATGATAACACTGTTTAAAATGACTGGTAACTAGAGCTTGATATTTCGACACCAAAAGAGCCTATGTGTGATTAGATATCTATAGATTTAAGCTTTATAGCCAAGGTCTGAACACATTCTTCTACTGAATATTACCAAATGTGAAACGTTTAGTTGTTTTTGTATTCCATTACGTTCCCAATGGAACATAGGGCTTCAAGCTAGAGGCGTGAAGTTTCGGTATCTGTGGTATTTATTTTTACGGAATGGGGTTGCTAGCCTCATGCCCAATCTTCCCTCTTCACCAGTCTTATTACTGACTTAGCGAGGTAAAGTAGTGCGTCGGCCGGGGATCGAATCGTGGACCACCTGCGTGGTTGGCGAGTATCCTACCTCTGTGCCACCGACGCGGAAAGTTTAGTACAGGTAATAATTTATTCGAAGAAATTAGTAATTCAAATCCATTTAAAGAGAAGAAACATTTATGCATATTGGCATGAGAATAACATCATAACTTGCGAGCTTCCCAAAATGGATTTAGCTAAGTGAACGAGTGATACCATCGGTTATGCTTGTTTAGCGGATTTTTGTTACATTTAATTTGTACTCAACATTTACCTGTGGGTAGGACGAATTGTCAGATAAAAACAAAGGGATTATCGAAACGTTCTAGCAAGTACTGGAAAAAATAAGTATCAACTAATGCCGGAAGTAAATCTTAGTAACAAAAATGATAACAGTAGAACAAGGGAAGACTAATTTCATAGCTTATAAACCCTAAAATTATGAAAAGTAAATTTGTTTCCAGGTACCGATTAGCTAGCGGATCACCAAAAATGTAAAAATGGTTAGTGGCTATTCCATTCTACTTTGGGACTGTTTAGTAGTGCTCGCCCATTAATCTTCGCTAGGTTGATTTTATAGGTATTACTCCTTATGAAAAGCACACTAACATTGGTTCATGATGTCTGTTTTCTATCGATTCAAGAGAGAGCGCAAAAAAGGTAAAGTGGAACATTCATGTGACGTAAAATTCACTTGGCTTGTTAAGTAATTCAACTGTGAACTTAACTCATTCAAATAAGAAATTTGTTAGACATACGGAGATGAAATTATTTTTAAATTTCCCCACAATTATATTCAAAAGTAGCAGCCTACAGCAATATAATGTTTAACATTATTATGATGAAATTTGATGAACAAAACAAGATACTCGTGTGCGAGACAAGTATCATATAAAGGGGACCAGATGTTGCAGTCGACAACTGAAAAGCTGATATTAGCTATGAAGCGTAGCTAATACACGATGTATGATTTTTCCTAATCTCATTAACGTGTTAACTCCTATCATCTGCAACTAAAGTAGAGAAGTTTGATGATTTAAGCTCATACATCTAAAACTTGTAGGGCAATTGTTGATTTGAACATCTAGGAAAACAATACGATCTAAAAGCACTTCTGATTGGACACTAGTAACTGGTGTGATGCATCTAGTCCTTTCTTTGGTGCAGACTGAATTCTATCTGTCAGGTTTTCAATGTGGCCACCATTCTAGGTAGCTCTCCATCATGGTGCACACTGATGATAATGATAAAGTCCTACAGGAGGTCAATCGCGAGCCCGAATAGCTCAGTGGTAACGTCTCTAACTGCAACACTGGGTGATGCTAGTTCGAATCTCAGAAGGAACATGACCTCCTTTATGGTTTGAGATACACCTTTCTGATCGGTGAGTACCAACTAGCATGAAACCTAGGTCCAAGGCTTCCTGTCGATTTCTTCCAACTATCTAATATCATCAAAATCACTTCTAAAACATATATATATATATATATACATAGTAAAATTCAGCACCATCCATTGGCAAAAGTTAGTCGATAATTCGTCACAAAATATATGGCAATGATTGAACGTTATTTATGTTCAAGCTTAAATCGTATACATTTAAAATATTGTTGTGAAAGCGAAATATCTTTAGAGAGATTTGTGAAACACTTCGATTTTATGCTAATGAAAGGAGACTATGCGATGATATTATCTAATCATATATTTTCTGAATGCTTTATTCGTATATTGATTAGTCTGCATATGAATCATTTTCGTTCTTATCACATAGGAGTATTTGAACTATTAAAGACAAATTTTGAAGAAACTGTTGTTTGCACAACGTAACATTCAGAAAAATCTTGCTTTGACTGTCGAACCTGTTGGGATTATTTTAAATAATTTTATCATGATCCCATTGGACTGTGAGCGCAAATTGTTCTAGGAATTTCCTAGATATTTGTAGTTTAAAAATTTAATTATAGTAAATACTATGCTTTGTTACGTTGATTGGTCTTTAGAACGTAATCACTGTTATGCTTCTACTCGTCGGTTTTGGTGCAAACTGAATTCCGGCTGTCAAGTTTGCAGTGTGGCCATCATGTTAGGTGGGGCGGTATTACAATGTAATCTGAACTGCAGTGTGAACCTAGGTTTCAGTCAGCAAGGTGTACCTGCAACTTTGAAGGAACTCATGTCCCTTCTGAAATTCAAACCCATGTCACCCAGAGCTACATTCACAGAGGTTACTACGGAGCTATTCGGACTCACGATTGACTTCCTGTAGCTCAGTAATGACGTCTCTAACTGCAGCATTAGGTGATGTAGGTTTGAACCCCAGAAAGAACATAAATTCCTTCAAGGTTACAGATACGCCTTACTGAAGAGTGCCAACAAGCACAAATCCTAAGTCCAAGGATTCCTACTGACTGCCTTCAACTATCTTACACTATGCTTTGTTGTCAAGCTTATATACTATCTGATTTCTATCAGGAATGGTTG